TATATATATATATATATATACATGCTTTAGTATCATAATATTCTAATGTTTCTAAGTGATAAAGATAACTGAAAATCTCATCAAATGAAATTATAAACAGAAATAAAAGAAAGAGAATTGAATAGAGTTTCTATTGTTAGTAAATTATTAGAATTATTAATCCTTAATTAATAGATATATCGTATTAATTTACATGTGATCAACAGTAATTTGTATTAAATTATCTCATTTTTGAATACTTCATCTTATTTTTCATTCTATAGAATATACATAAAAATGTCATTTTTAATTAATAACATTTATCACATTAAGATTAAATTAAGTATCCTAGATTTAAGAATAACCTAATTCAAATGTAACTCATGCTTTAGTGCCCATAATATTAAGAATACCGAATGAGGGATAACGAGAAATAGATGTGAAAATAATATGTACCTGCGAAGTGAATCACGAGGTGGTCAAAAATGTGATTCGAAACCGGCGATTCATCCCACTTTGTTTCCACTTGTTTTATGCAGATAGGTCGGTACGCGATTCGACGTCAGTGATCGAACATCAGGCTCTCTTCGGTGTGGTTATCAGTGTATCACAGTTTATAAATCCGACGCATGCCCCGCGATCGACCATTGTTTCCATTAATTACACTCGCATTTCAGTCTGGCACACTCTGTGTCGCGCCCCCTTTCATTCACACCCATCTCCTTAAACGCACATGTTCACCTAATCTTTCTTTAATATATCTTAGTATCACAATGGACGATTTTATATTTCTCTATCTTGTTTTTTTTTTTAATAATTTATATATTTCATCCGCCTCTTCTCCTTCCACTCTTGCTTTTCTTTTTTTTTCTTAATATTTTGTTTATAACCTTAAGCTTAGAAATCACAGTCGCGAATTGATACGAATCACCGTAGCATGTGCTGCTGCTGTTGCCGTTGCTCGGTCAGAAACGATCACACCATCTCGTATACCGAGCATGCCTTCTCTTTCTATTCCTTTCTCTGTCACTCTCACCACGTTGCACACGATTGGTACGACTAGTCACCGATTATTCTCTTTGGGACACGATGGTTGGCCGTTTGAACAATTCCCGTTTTCGAAGGGCTCCACATACACTCAGGACTTCTAATTTTTTCTCTCTTTTTTTCTTTTTTTTTCCTGTTTTATATATATATATATTTTATAGATATATATATTTATTAATATTCGTTCTGGGACGGAATACGCGTGATTCGTTTGCCAGCCTTGTGCGTGAAGGCCGTATCTCTCACCTGTTTGACACAAAAACTCGTCACGAGAAAAAGCACAGGATTATTCCGCGTCTATCTGCCTCTGGAAGGAGTTTCACTGTCGACCATCAATGCGCACGTGCGACCGACGGGCAATGTGCCGAATCCTCTCGCTCGTCGCCGTTCTGACGAGAACACATAAAAACTACGTCGATGGGACGCTCCTCAGAAACGAGACACGGTTACGAGTCGCGGGAAACGGATTGCTTCGGTCGCATGCTTCCTCATCTCGTTTCGTTCCTTGCGTTTTGTTGCGTTTACAATGCGATTCATCACATTCGATTTGATCAAACACAAATACCGAAGTGCCATTCTTTCTTTTTCTCCTCTGCCAACACCGAATCTCTGTTCACTTCTCCTTTTTCTCTTTTTTCTTACACTTTTTTCTTCCTCTTCTACCTGTTCTTTTCTTTCTTTCTCTCTCTTTCTCTCTCTCTCTCTCTCTCTCTCTCTCTTTTTCTCTCTCTCTTTCCTTCTCCTTGTCACTAATCACCCGTCTCTCCTTCTCCGTCGAGAATGTATCCAAACATCATTTGAAAGGACCAGATGTCGTGACGACCGTTGTTCTTCCTTGTCGATCCTGTCAAAAATGACACATGCTCAACTAAGTATCGTCATCACTGAACATTGATGCGCATCTCCGACGGCAGTTCGACGGCATGGCAACCTACACACGTAACGAAACTCGATGGCGCGATAGTCTCGATGCCGTGCGACCGTCGATCGATCGAAAATCATCTGCCCGCCTCGAATCGTGCTCCGTTGCTCCTCGCTGCTACGCTTCGACACGATCCAACCGTGTTTCTCACAAGCACATCGACTCTCTTCTGTCCCCGTGATAGAAACGAGGAAGGGAATTGACGTTCGGTCACGATCACAAAGAATTTCGTTTTACGCTGTTTTCACTCGATTGACACTTTGTTCCTAACGATATATCCGTTCCAGATTCTAGCAACGGCCACTAACGACATTTGATTTTCTTCGATTATGATCCCGC